CCTTTGAACATGCAGGAATGAGCACCCTAACCCGAGCACACATTTCTGCGCATATTTTGACAGAATCTGGTTGTATGCGTTGCAACTGACTTTAAACATGAGAGGGAACAAGTTGTCTTCACCAGAGGTGAAAACATTTACTCACATATGGCTGTTAGGTACAGCGCTGAGGTTCTAAACAGTCAGTTGGGGTTTTTTAAATCTCTATTTCACCTCATTTTAGGAGGGAAACTGTAGATTTTAACAGCATAACATCTGTCTGACAGCTGCAGTTACCAGCTGCTTTTAAGATGAAAGGCTTTACGTCCAAAACACTTAAAATATCATGCATTATACTAAGATTAAACACGTCACTAGTACTTAAAGCAAATTGTGAATTGTGTATTTCAGTATGTATGACCTATGCAGGCAGCTTTCGTATTCCTTAGTCTTGTGTTGACGTAAGAGATTCGGCTCGTCTGTGAGCAAAGAAAATTCTCCCTCCACAGAATGAAACCTACCTCAGAGCCGTGTAACATAGGCATGGTCACAGTGGCTTTGTCGATCACTTAATCACTTTATTTTATATACATTTATTTTAAAAAAAATTTCATATTCACACTTTTCCAAGTACACAAGTCCCTCTGACTAAGGTTGGTGATTATCTCACAGGATTAGGCGATAACAAGCTCGATCATCTGGCTCCTTATTTCTTGCCTTGTTAGCCTTTTGTTTAATCACAACTGCTAGATAACAGTTGACTTAGAGAAATGATACCACCAGATATGAAAATAATTTGTAACAAAGCAAAGCTTTCCTCCTTAAGTATACTCTGGTGACAGTACAATTCTCCTATCAAATTTGTAATAAAGACCCTTAAGTATTGCGGTTTAAGTCCAGTGTATAAGCACTTCTTCCATGTGTGCTCTTCACTTTCACTCCTCTCCTCTACACTCAAAGTCTGACTTAATACTGTACTCCTCTTCCTCCTTCTCTCTCCCTGTTGTCTCGTCACACCTCAGAGACTCCACCCCGCGATCCTGTTAGTGCTTATCAGAGCATGGCTCGGGTTCAAACATGGACACGCACACGCCCACACCTTTCCCCCAATCAATACCGAATTTACAGAGGCAGCTTTTCTCTCCTAACTGAGCTCAGCTCTCAGGGGTGGCTGGTGTCACCAGGCTGTGGAAGTTTGGCTGAACTACATACATCTCGTATGGCTGCTGACACAGAAACACACTTTGAGTTACTAAAACCTACAAAGCAGAGCAAAGTGCACACCACCGTATTATCTTCCCTGGAGGATCTTTAAGTCTTGGATCGTCAAAAGAAATATATCTGAAAGCTAAATAAATACAGAGGTCAACAGCTTAATTATGGAATTAACAAATCCCCGAACACAAAGTCAAATGAACCAAAAGCTGTGTGAGGCTGAGATGTTGATGCAGTGAGATGGCTAAAAAGATCCCAGAATTAAATAAGGTTCTTTAAGTCGAGGTTTAACCCACATAACAACGTGCGCTTGCAGTTAACACCGTAACAAAATCAGAAATCTCTTTCAGGAAATTCAATATTCCAAACTATAAGGAAATTTGCCCATTTTGACCCACTGAGGTGCAGCATTCAGCTATAACTTATTACTGAGCTCAACAATTCTCCTGTGTTTTCCACTTGAGAATTGAGCAGTCACAAAGTTCAATGACTACAGCTATAAAAAAAAAAAACTAACTAATTTAAATTTGGCTGTTGCATCCCTCAAGATTGTATCCCTGATGAGCCACACTGTTTTCCCAGGACTCCATTAAATGTGAATTTCAATATGGGAAAGAGGAAGAAGTTGCAAAGACTTAGCTTTGGGGAGGAAGGTGATGGTGAGAAAAAAATCTACTTATATTCAATATCATGTGTACTGGCGATGATGACACAGAAACCACAATTTATGCTTCGTTGACCGTCCTTAAACTTCAAGAAGTTAAAATAAACTGAGACCCGTTTCTCATGACCAGAGATCCTAAACATTAAAGCTGCGTTATTTCAACACAGAAGCCGTTTGATCTCTAAACCTTTAAGGCGCATAGTGAACCTGCAGATAAGTGCTGAAGGTGCACAAGGAGAAAACCTTGAAGGAGATAACAGCTATATTTCAAACAGGTGCGTTTTTTACCTTTTTTTTTTCTTTTTTTTTTTTACAGGTGCAGTCACTGAACTTTTTCATTCGGCTGATCCCGACTTGAAGCCACTGTTATCAACTGCTATACAGTTGACTCTCTTGCCTGACTTTGATTCGCACCGCTGGGACTAACTAAGTGGATGAGACGCCCCGAGAAGATCAGCAGCGATCCTTGCAAATATCAGCACATCTCCTCATGTGGTGTGTCCTTGGTAGATAAATAGGATTGGAAGTCTTGGAGATGAAAGCACAATCACATTTGGACTAATTCCTCACAGGCGCCTTTGTCTTTGTTTCTGTGTCATTTCATCATCTTGGAGATCATTCTCCCTTTAATGTCTGAAGATTTAGAGAGAAAGGGGAGTTTCAGTGACTACATGGGGGTTCTTTTGAATAAGAGGCAATTTTTTTGGAAGGTTAAAACAGGCTATGAGTCCCCATGTTTAATGCTACCAAACCGCAAATACAAATATTTCTATTTTCACTTAAAACATGCCGGAATCCTTCATCATCTTATGTACTTTATGTAGGATGTAGATTTTATTTAACTTCATGGTACACACCAGGGAATATTTAATGTGTAGTTGATTGAAAAACAATAACCATGCAGCTCTGCGAGGCTGTAGTTATGCAGTTATGAAAATGAAAACATGTTGAGCAGGAAGTAGTTGTAGACAAAACAGTGCAAGCTGGTATGAATATCATTCATTTTCTAGTTTTTTAAGGAATCTGACTGGTGTTAGGTCAAGAGCTGTGAAAATTAGATTTCTGATCAGGTGTTTGTGCGAGATGAAAGGTCAGAGTCACTGGAATTCATTTGTAGGTGGAGAGGAGGCAGTAGTGTCTGTATTGAATTTCTAGGGCTGTGCAGGAATATTGCACCATTTGAGTATTTGTTCAGCTAATTTTTAAATGATGGACTTGAGTAGAATCTCGGCTTGGGCGACCTTAAGGTATATTTTATTCCAGGTAACTTAATTATGCAACGTAAGTATAGTCAAAAACACAGCAGGAGAGGAAGAAGAGGATCACAGAATCTCTGGAAACACTCAAAACTACAGAATTCATTTAATTGTTGTCGAGGCGTTTCAGATATCAGTTACCTTGTGCTGGCAGATGAGCACCAAAGCTGTTATGATTTCAAACTCCATATAATAGCTGAGATGTTTTATACTGAGGTGGTTGTTCAGCTTTATTTCACAAAAGCTTGTTGTCTCATCTGCCTATGGCTCAGTGACAGCAGAAAAAAAGTAAAAGAAGGATGGCAGCCTCCTTGAAACTAGGAAAACATCAGTGGTAGCCTACTGATTTTCTTTTTGCATTCAGCTTCTGATTGCAAGTAGCTATAGTGACCAACTGGTCCAAAGATGATGGCACATGTCACCTTCTGTCTCTAAACTTCTGTCTCTAAGACCAACTGCAATCACTCTGAATTTACAAATGCAGAAAAACTGCCAATAACTCTTTGCAACAAGGGACTCAACTGCCTGCCAACTTGTTGCATTCTGGTTATATTTCCATTAAAAGGTAAGCTGGCTGAGTGTCTGTGTCACTTGCTATCCTGCAGGAACTGTGTCATTATTTGTAGAGGAATTTCTGAACTTCTGTTTCAAATCTACATTTCTGGCTGGAGTAACTGGTTAATGTGAATTTCTGTGAATGTAGATGGTGACAGATTTGTAATTTCTGCTGATTTAATCACAGCTACAGACCGATAGCAGACTGACTCCATGTTATTGCTGTTTCGACACACCAAAGTCAGTTTAAAGACGGCAGCTGACTGCGAGTGGTCGCAAAGCTGGTCTCTGTTTTCAAAGCAACGAGCTAAAAGGGAATGAGATCACAAGTTCATTGCGCACTTTGGCAATAATTTGTGCCAAGTCTGTAATTACCGTTTTCCGTATTGTGACTGTAGCCTCATGAAAGTTTATTAGTACACTTCCAATTATCATTTGCCACATTTCCAAAACTAAACAATACACCAACATATGTAACTGTCTGTCATACAACTGGCAACACAGGGCAGGTTAAATTTGACCTGGGGCGAGGTGTCATTTGCTCACATGACTTGCCGTCTGAACACTCATTCAGTGTCCAATGTATTTATGTGCTTCCAGGAATATGCATCCTGAAAAAACCTTGCTGCCCTCCCACCATAAACAAGCATGCACTGAAAAGAGAAACAAGTAAGCAAGGTAGTCACTTCTCTTCTCTGTCTCTGTCCATCCTATTATTCATATTCAACTCATATTCAACTGCACTGCTCCCCCAGCGCCTATAACTCGGTTGATAAACCCCCTCTTGGTCACGCACAAAAAGAAAGGGGAAGCAGGAAGGCTGGATGTGAGAAAAAAAGAGAAAGATACAACTCACTTGTGTATTTGTATTTGTCTATAAAAATGCATTGACATTCATCTCTCTCCTTTCTTTTTGTTGTGTGTTTATCGAGTGTGTGGGTGGATAAAGGACACTTCAGATCTCGCTCGGTTGAGAATAAAGAAGTCTTTGTAACCTCCAGTCTCTTTGGTCCTGGGTTTTAAGCACACATATCACGGGGCTTCCTATCAACTGCAGCGCGGGCTGCCACACACATTAGCGCTGCCTCTACATAACTCCTAAAACATACAAATCCTGTACCAGCGTACACGATTTAGCAAATGTCCTTCCACCGACTTGCAGGAAATCATGCCACTATGCAGCTCATCAGAGCAACAGGCAAGATTTTAATCTCTTGAAATTAATGCCGTGAGCAACTTACATTCCAGTGTGTAGTTAGCATCAGTGAATGTAAGAGGCAGAAAAGCATAAAAGAGGAAAAACGAATAGACGATGGAGCTGCTGTACTCACCATCCTCTTTGCATTCCTCGGGCGGCTTTGCTTTCTTGGCTAGCCTCGGGTCCAGCCACGATGTTGTCTTAGTGTTGTGGCTGTGAAGAAAAGACAGAGAGAGCGTGAGAGGCAGTGTGATAGATGGCGAGAGAGAGGAGACTTGGCACAAAGAGAGAGAAGGAGGTTGGTGGATTCTTAATTCAGCCAGAGAATCATTTCAGCGAGGAAAGATGAGACTCCCTTGAGTGCCTGCGTCTAAAAAAGGTGACAAGAGAGACGAAAAATGCTTTAGGTTAACAAAATGGCAATCAATACTTTTAATTTGCTCACTGTCTCTCATTAGCGGGCGGGGGAGGAGGAGAGGAGAAGGGATAGGAATGGATAGAGGGGTGACTGGGGGGAGTGATGGAGAGGAACAGCTGTGGGCTTGGCAGATTCAGCCAGAGCCCCAGGCAGAGAGCTGGATCTAGATCAGATATGATGATGTGCCAGGGAAGCGCAATGCATCTACGCGGCTTGTCTGAAGCTCTGGACCCACAATGGCCTCCCTTCATGATGACAGAACAATAGTAGGAAGGGAAAAGTCAGGGGAGGTGTTGAAAATGCCTACAGTAAAAAGATAAAGGAAGCGAGAAGATAAAGGAAGAGGATGCAGCGAGGAGACCTTCTTATATCTTTTTTCTCTTTAATACTTTTAACTTTTGTGTTTTCCCGCAGGATATTTTCTTTGCAGCTAGGCGTCAAACACATATAGATTTACAGAGAGGAACAGTCTTGAAAACATGCAAAATGCAAAATATAGAGATAATAAAGTTAAGTTAAGTGATGGTCTGTTGATGACAAAGAAGACAAAGGGAAAAACACAAAAGTAATCACCGAGCAAAAAGTAGTCTGGCATGTTTCTCTCACCTGATTCACTGAAGTGCAATGAATCAGCTTCTTTTAGGGCGTTTTCACACCGACACACTTTGTTCACTCTCGTCTGAATCAGCTGGTGACTTTGTGAACTAGTAGTTTTTCTCTGTGGCTTGGTTGCTTTTCACAAAAATAAAACTCCAAACAGACTCCAAGAAAACCTAATTGTGCCACAACAAACCACGTGAGAACTCTCAGACCACACAGCAACAAAATAAAATACAAGAAGTAGTCGCTTTTGTCTGGCCTGGTGGATAACACAACTAAGTGAGTCCCTGACTTATTTTTCAGCCAGGGGCTAGAGTTTGTTTACTCTTACAGTTTACAGCATGCAGCTGGTACCCAGGTCAGATTATGAGTAGATCATGTTAACATAAAGGAAACATTCTCGTTTAGAAACGGAGACAAACTGCTGAACTGCTCCTCTTGATGCACTTGAGTGCAAGTCTGGTCAAATCAGCACAAATGAACCAGAGTTGGATTTAAATGGACTAAACAGCGCAGATGTGAAAACACCTTTAGTCTCTGTTAACACCTCCATAGAGCTTATCGCTGTTAGGAATGTGGGGCTAGGACCCAAATGCAGAGTCAGGAAGCAGGCAAGATAAGCAGAAAAAAAACCCCAACTCCTGTTTATTGGCATAGAGTCCGTAAGGTACCATACATACAGGAGTAACACCAGGAAACACACCAACAGGGTTAATGGACACTGAGGCAAAAGACAGAGGGAAACTGTGGCTATTTATACACATAAAACCACTGAGGGCTAATCAGGAAATAAGACACAGCTGGGAGGAAAGAAGACATGGGTTCACAGATTCAGCACTATCACAGGGGAGGTAGTAAAACTAAAAGTAAGTCACAAAAGACAACTAACTGCCAAAGTGCAACACGGAGTAAGCGACAGCAACCAGGGAATCAGACGCAAGACTGAGCTTGGCACATGGGAAAGATACAGGAGGATAGACAAAAGGAAACACATGAGAATACTAGAAACAGTAATGAAATACAACTAGAAAGGAAGATTCAAAATACTAGGACTAAATGAGAACTGAAAACTTCCCAAGATGCAAAAAACTAAACAAAATCCAGAAACAAAGCCCACAGACCACAAAAACAGCACACAGCTCGATGCTAAGACTGTAAATCTGATAGCCAAGTGCATAATTTACAGGATATTAAACTGAAATAATAAGCTAAAAAATAAGAACATCCTCTATACAGCTGCCGAATTGTTGTTGGTTCTCGGTGTCTTTTCAAATTAGTCATTTACTCAATATTAAGAGGTTTTTGAAAAAGAGGTTTTTGATCTCAACGGGACATTCCTGGTTAAATAAAGGTTAAATAAAAAAATAAAACACAAGGTTAGGGTTAGGCTAACTTGTATAGCTGTTAAAGTATATAATTTTATTTGAAAGGGAAAATCTTCTGCTTTTAAATGGATAAAATACATCCTAACCCCAAAAGAGTGCGAACAACCTGCTGGATGATGATGTTTATCTAGAATACTAATTGCTGGAATATTAGAATAATTAAAATAAATATATATAAAAAACTACGTAGAACAACCAGATAGTTGTTATAGCCCTGCAACATTGTGTTTGCGCTGTGACTAGCTTAATTAACTGAGTTAACATGTTGACATTTGCTGATTAGTATTAAATGGTGCACAGAACAAGGCGTTTCTGTCATACAAATCAGTTATTTTAAATACAAATAACTGAAATTGAATAACTGAAAATAAATAAAATAAATAAATACATTTCATTAAAATATATATTTTCTTGATCAATCAATTAATTGTTTAATTAGTTATAGGCAAAACATGTCAGAGCAGAGATCTTTATATATTTACAAGGTTGAAACTGCATCTTTGCCAGAAATCACAGCTGTTTCATTGTAGATTCTTTTCTCAAAGTGTATTGAGGTATTTTAGTCTGGACCAAAGTAACAGACTGATTGAATGGTGCATTGCTGTCCTTTGAGCTATGAACAGAAGCCTGAGTAGAAAAAAAAATGGACAGATAAAAGAGGAACAAGAAGCTTCATGCCAAATACAGAAGAGCATGAAGTGAACTTCAGTGCAAGTTAAAGTCTTTGGCTTAAATGTTGAATCTTTTTCATCAGAGCTTTTTATTCTCTTTTCTTTCCTCTACTTTAGCCTTTCAGTCATTTCTTCTCCATTACTACCTATAGTATATAAAACGTACTACCTCCTTACTCATTTTCTTGTCCTCCCTGTCACCCTCTCTTTTTTCCGCCTTTGCTATTTTTAATCACTTTTTTTCCCTTCCCTCTTCCTCCGTCTATTCCTCTTCTCAGACACCTCACTTCAAGAGCAGTAGGTAAACGAATTGATCTTATATGGAGGCCAATCAAAGACAAGCATCCTCCTGGCATCACTTATGCGTAGAAAAAAACCCCTTGATGCTATAAATGCGGTAGGCTAAGTGAATTAGTTGTGTAATGTGCTTGATGGATGTGGGAGCATGAGGTTTCTCTGTTTGGGGTAGGAGACATATGGCGAGTTGTCTGCAGAGGATAGGAATTAAAAGTTTGCATCTGTGGCAAATAGACATGAAGAGACAACATGTGCCTGGCTGGCTGACAACCCTGTCTCATTTCTTACTTTGGTGCTGCTGCGAAGCTTCTAGCAGTTAAAAGAGTGCGCTCAAGCAGGCTGGGATTCAGCTGATTCTACGGAGAGATTTCTCCTAATCACTGAAATGATCAACTGGTGCAGAAAAGCCCCCAAACGTTTTCACAATTGCAAAACCCCCTCTCTGCTATATCTACATTTGTTAATGTTTTACAAGAACTCAAATGCACACACAATTCCCACCACACCACTGCAAAAACACACAGCAACTCAATTATTCTTATGTAATAAAAATTCACCCCATGGTTTTACTGCAGCTGTAAAATACTAACAACTCCAATGAATTAGACTTTAGAGCGTTTATAAGAGTTCTACGTAGCAAGGTATTTCTGGGGAGCTTTAAATCTTTAAAACCACCATGTATCACATATAGTCTGTGTGTGTGTGCTGAGCACAGAGGCAATTAAACAGTGCTGAAAACATAAAGTGACCACATCTTTAGCAATCTTCTTAGGATGTAAGGCAAATGACATGATCTCTGAGTATGGCGCTCAGATTCAGAGCTGTCCCTCTGACGTACTCATTTCTAATCCTGTCCATCCCGGTCACTCCCATTGAAAATCTTAACAAGCTGCCTCCAGCTCAGCTTCCCGTCTTTATGTCAGTGCTACTGTTTCCAAACCATACATCATCTAACGCTTGTCTCTATCCACTACACCCTGCCTGCGCTCTCTTCCTCACCTCGGTTTGGCACTGCCCGTTCCTTCGGACGGTTGACCCCAAATATTTAAACCCCTTCAACTTTCACTACCTGTGGTCCTTGCAACTTCACCTTTCCACCTGCCTTCCTCTTCTCCCCAGAGCATACCTCCCACTTCACCAGACTCTCTCCCACCTGGTCCCTACTCTCACTACAGATCACAATGTTGTTTCTGAGCATTATAGTCCATGCCTGACTTCACCTGTCAACCTGTCCAATCAGTTCAATCGATTATCAATTTGTTCATTTTTCTACTTTTGTTTTTAAGAAATGTGTAAGCTGCTTATTATTACAGAGCAATGCCTTTAATGAAATTCTTGTATAATCCCAGCACCAATGTTTAAAGCAACAGTTTGTCTCATAGTTGATACCAATAATTTTTCGTGCCATGATATTTTTTAACATGCAGCCAACACAAACAGATGATTGGCAAGCAGATATTTTTATTGGTGAAGTAATATCAGCTGACATCAATGGTCAGCTGATATATTAGAGCAGCAGTCCCCAATCACCGGGCCACGGACCGGTTTGTGAGTCGTTTGGTACGGGGCCGCGATTGTTGAGGCAGGTGTGAAATTTATGGTTTTATCGATTTTTATAGTTTTAAAAAAAAAAATCGTTTTTATCGTTAACTTGGTTTCCCTGGGTCTTTTCCTGTGTGTTATGAATAAATCTTCTTTTTTTGGTACCAGTACTGGTTTTATTTTATTGTATTTATCCGCGACACCTTAAAGGCCGGTCCATGAAAATATTGACGGACATATACTGCGGCACAAAAAAGGTTGAGGACTGCTGTATTAAAGGATTTATAATTATTGTGACGTGAGTTTGTACAGATATCCATTCTGTCCACAGCTACACACAACAAATGGCTGACGGTAAAAGAAAATATTGCAATAACTACGGGAATGCAAAACAACGTTCAAATTCAATGTTCAAGTTTTTTTGTTTACATGTATCATCAAAACAGGCTTGATATAAGTTTTTTTTTTAACATAATACTTTAAAAATGGCAAAAACAAAAGTGAAGGAAAGGAAAGTTCTAGAAAATTATATTTTGCTCATTTTTCAGAGACCTTACTTTAAAAGAAGAACGTTTTTTTTAGCTAAAGTTTTTTTTGTCACTTTACACCCCGCTGAGGTCTTTAAAAATCACTTATAAACATCATCAATTTCAAGAATATCTGAGAAAAGTCTGAATGCATATATCATTCAAACACTTACTCTATGAAGTAGACTTCTCCTTTCTCAGTGTATGCCATCTCCCAGTTGTCTGGCAGCGGCCCTAGCTCATCGTTCTCATCTGGTTTGGGCACTGCCATCTTCGGGATCTGTCCGTCATCTTTGGGTACCTCGCTCGGGGCCTCTGCTGGGTTGATCTGCGGGCCGACGTCCCCTGAAGCATCTGTGCTCTTGTCCTCATGTTCACTTGATTCTGAGGTGACAACAGGACAAGATGAGTCAGGCATGACATTATCATCGGAGAGGAGAGGAACGGGGGAGGGCGAGGAGAGTGAAAGACAAGGGAGCTGAAGTGTGGAAAATGTGAAGGGACTGATTGAGAGAAGGGGCTAGGGTGGAGGCAGAAAAAAGAGGAAAGAGTGATTAGAAAAAGGTGAGAGGAAGTGGTGACATTGGGGAAAGAAAGGAGGGAACAGAGGGAGTGATTGAGGTTAACAAGACAGAAAGATGAATAAATCAGAGGAGACAATAGAGATTGAGAAAGTAGCAGGCGGTGATGCCCTACTTTGAGTTGTGGCAGTGTGTGAAAGTGTTAGCGAGAGAAAAATGGGAAGACAGAGAAAGAGATGGCAAGTGTGAGCTCATCCCAGAGGAGGTTTGGTGGAGGGAAGTGAAGAGGGGACAAATGAAAGTAGCGGATTGAGAGATAATCTATGGGAGGGAAAGCGCGAGGTAGTGATCTGCTTAGATCACAGAGCCTGCTGTGCTCTATTGATTCCCCTTCTGCTCTCCTGGTCAGCCCACACTCGGTCCCTTTCAGAGACAAAACTCCTCCTGAGCCGAGAGAAGCTGCCCACTTTAACAAACAACATGCCTCAGCATGACGTTTTTGAGCATCTCACTATTGCTGAAGATATTTCCACTCTTGATTTATAAAAACTTTTCAACACTTCATGTACAAATTTGAACCGATGGCATTGTGGTCATAAAAGTGGTGCTCTGCTTCAGTTTGGGGTCTCCAAAGATGACAAAAACCTTTTTAAGAAACCCCCACTACCACTAGATTGAGATTACTGTTCATAAGCAGGTAAAAACATAAATCATGTCAGCTTCATTAAAAGTTGACTACCATACAGTAGGTCTTGTGTCAAAGTCTTAGCTTTTACATGCTGGGTTTTAATGAGATCACAATGTCAGAGATTTCTATTATTTTATCATCCACAGCAATGATGTCCGGCAGGCTCCAGACAAAATGAAAGTAAAGTCAAAGTGTAAAACAACATGCAAAAAAACACACAAAAATCTACTTTTTAAACTTTTTTTGCTTCTGATTTCCTTTCATCAATTCAGGTATTTTATGTCTCTGATCCAGTAAAACAAATATGATATTTAAAGGAAAATCCTCACTTCACCCTTAGAACATTTAATCTGAGTATTTTCTGTTTGTTTTTCTTCCGCAAATCATGAATCTTACCTTGTTTGACCTCGTTGCCAAAAGGAAACCAATATTGCATCCTTTAACCAAACTTCCCTTCTCAAAATATCACCTTAACAGCTCCATAGTATATAGCCGTAATTACATCCAAAAATACAGCTGCAGCACAATATAAAAGTAAGTGCAGGGATCAGCTGAAATCAGCACCCAGACTCCTTGAGCTTCTGTGCTGCTCTGACTGATGCTGTGCAGTGAAAGTCTTTTCCTGAGGCCATGAAACCATCTTAGAAAGTCACAGGACCGAAGCGTGGCTCTGGATTTGGAATCACAAAATTCGAACTCATAATGGTGTTTTTATGATCGCCTATTCATGTGATCACGGGTTTCAGTGCGTGACGAAGCAACTCCATGTATCTGTGTTTGTGTGTTTACTTGTTATAACAAGTGAACACACTAGAAGGTATACTTAGATACGTCTTTTTAGTCTAGTCATTCAGTGCAGAGAATGGCACCTTTCTCTATCAGTTTATGGATAACGACAAGCTCTAGAGGTTTGGCCTTGTTACACACAATGTTAAACCCCTTTTCTGCCAATTTTCTGTATTTACAAAGAGGATAACAGCACTTTCTACAGGGCTGATTCACAAATGAGAGAAAGCACTTAATAAAATGTCCTTGTTGATTTTTAAACAGCCTACAGGCTTTTGTTGAATTGGGGAGCAAAATATGTGTTTGCCCCTTGGCTATCTGTTCTGAGACACTGTTTAAAAATGGTACCTAATGAATGATATCAAATTCTAGAGAGCAGCAGCACTAATGCTTTAATCATAAACTGTTTGTGCCGCAGAGGTAATCACTGCGAGAGCTTATTGCCGTTCACTGTTTATATATCACGTCATTAAACTACATATAAAGATATTTGTGTAACCAATTAAAAGTGATAATCTGCCGTAAAATCATTTTCAAAGAAATGCATGTAAAAACAATCTGTTCCTGCATCTGTTGCTAGGCAACCGCCCTTAAAGAGACTGTCGCTGTAACATGCAGATCAGACTGAGCCCAAGCGTGACCTCAGACCCTGCTGTCATGATGAAGCCTTCGGCAGAAGTGACCTTTGCCTCTGTGCGTCTGTGGAGGTTGCTGTCGGGACTGACCTGGGGTGACAGCAACACCGTTGCCATTGACAATGGGTCTCTCCTCCTCCTCCTCCTCGGGGGGCTCGATGCTGGCTTTTTCCATGTTGCTGACTGACTTGTTGCGTTTCCTCTTGCCCTCTGAGCTGGGTCTGGCGCCCGGGAGCAGCTGGTCCGTTACATTTAGCAGCAGAGCGCTGGGCTCAGCCGGAGGCTTTGGGGTGCCGTAAAAGTTATCTGGAAAACAAAGTTTAGCTATAGACGTACAGTAGAGTGCAAAGGAACTTTAGATTCTCATACATCACATAATATCACCAAGTTGTCAAATTCCCTGTGAAAATGAGAGCAGGATGAAGGGATCTAAAAGATGGATATCACTGACAAGCTCTGGACATCTTAAAATGCAAATTTTAGATCAAAGCAACATTTGGCTAAAGCGCAGCCTCACTCTGATGGTATATGTCCACAGCTTCTGTGATTTCCACACTTCCCAATCACTGACTACGACAGCAGCTGGGAAATGCGTTCTGTTGCCAAAGTGTTGCAGTTTCACTGAATGGATTTGATTTGGCTTCTCCCCATTTGAATCAAGTTTACATTTAGCCTATTTTATGCAAATCAGAGCTCCCCAAACCTTTTAAACTAACCACACACACACACTCTAAAATATAGACCCATTGAACAGTTTCAGGGTTCATTGCTTACCTTGGTGTTTAAAGGAACACGTTTAGTTAAAGGTTTGCTAATATATAAGAAAGCATTTAGAAGAGCTGTTATTTTGGCCCATTTTATCCTCTCCCTCTCTACTGGGAAGAACCTCAGTTCTTCAGAAGGAAACATGTTGGACCCCCCCCCCCCCCCCCCCCTTTTTTTAAGTGTCTTAAAAGTAAATATATCTGCTTCTGTTAATCCCAGGAGAAGACATGAGATTAAAAAAATAAAATCTGCATTTCCATAAAATTTTAATAAAGGAAAAGCAGCACTGAAAAATAATTCCTGTGTACATAATGTAGATGCAAAGAGGCAGCAGAACGAGCACGGAATAAAGAAAGTAAGGATGAGAGCGGGTTAGGATGTTAGCCTTGTAATGTCAGATGAGTTCTGCACTTGAGATGTTGTTCCAGCTAATTCACCATCATCTGCACAAAGACGTGCACACTTGCAAAGTAATCTTGACCTGCACACATCTAATTGCGAGCTAATCGCAACCATTTAAAGAACAGCATATTTATTATTGCGAAGTTCTTCCATTACCTCCTCTGCATATAAATCACTTACTAGCCCAGTGCCTGGATTTCCGTGGAATATAACTATGGGTTTCTGCATGACTTGGACTGAATAATAACCATCTCTCTCTCGCTCTCTTAGTTTCGGTCTCTGCTCAGAACCAACTCCCCACCTCTGGGAACTGCAGCTTTTCATTTGGCTGTGATGCAACAGCTCCTTCCACAGTCGTCTAAGTTGATTTTACATTTTACTGTCATTCAGTTTAAGTACTGGCAGCAGTCCAGTACTGTTGACAGTCTCCATCAGTCAATGTGAAAACCTCATAACCTCATGTTTATGGATTTATATATTTTTTTATTTTAATGAGTGCTGTTGAGATTTGATGTGATAAATCATTTTCTTCCAAAAAGCTGGAAAATGCTATAAAATGCTCACACAAAGGGTAACTGGAAGAGCCAATACCTCAAAACCTAAGGGAAAAAAAAGTGTGCAGGCATTTTTAGATGTGAAGTGACCAATAAAACCACAAAGTTACAGTCTTTCCTTAAGCCATTGCAAGTCTCAAGCTTCTAAAAGCATTTTCACGCAGAGTGAAAAAACTGCAAGTTTTATGTGACTGACCGGACTTTTTCTTTTCGAGTTTTTCGCACAACAAACAGATGAGAGAGAGTGAGACATTGGATTATATTCATCCAAAGTCTGAGAGATTCTTCTGTCACTTAAAAGATCAGACACTACTTTCCTTGGAGGCTTCCTTTTAAATCGGTGACCTCATCCACTCAAGTGTGCCTGCTAGAGCACATGAAGGCTCTGCTTATGCGCAATTAACTAGGCTCAAGCATCTGAGACAAATTTTTACACATATATCAAGGGAAACATGAAGAAGCACCTATTGAAACATCATGTTCACATTGTGAAAAACCTAAAGGCTGCAATAAGAAATAGAAGCGAGCAGCTCTAAAGAGATTACGGAGACTGGTGGGATTAGAACCTCTGAACCAAAGACACGATTCCCGGACCCTTAATGAGCTGAAGCTGAGGAAAAAGTATACGCCGCGTGTGAACTTAAATAACTCGAAGCATCACAGAAACCTGGACTTTGAAGTTTGAGTAAGTGGTGGAAATGCTGTCACATCTAAAAGCCACGGTGATTTAAGTCTACAGTGTTACTGAAAGTAACTTCTTTTCTTAAAAAAAACAGAAGGAAATCACCTCAATTAACAAAAAAGATCAAAAATGAAACAAAAGGAAGGAGGAGCTGAGATTTCTTTGTCACAACACAATCATGAAATAAAAGCAGAGATGGTATAAATAGATGGACGCAGCGATCGGAGTGGGTAGTGTCCAGTTATGAAGCTTCACACTGAAGGTTTTGCCTTATGTAAACCTGTCATGCAAGGGGTGGATCTGACACAGAACTCATTGGCAATAATCCTCCTTTCTGACTCTAATAATAACCATAATTTACAAAATGAACTTCATATTTTATTGAATATGAGTTGGAACTAGAGGTTTAGCCAACAAAGTCCTCAGAACACAAAGCACAGCAAGGCAGCTGAGAGTAATTTTCCTATAGACTTCTATACAACTGGACAGCTTTTTGCAACCAGGGGATCCAGCCCCCTGGTGGTCATTAAAAATAATGCAGCCTTTAGGTACTCAAGGCCATGTCTATCTTGTATCCATACTGTTAAGGATTTTTTTTCTTAGCAAAAAAAAAGAGAAAAGAAAAAACGACGGATAAGAGTGTATTCGGAGACCTCATCTCCGCCACAGCATCTCTGTTCCTTCAGCAGACTACATCAAACTTGTGCAAGAAAAGACGTGGGCTATGTAGTCCATGTGAAGTCGATCACCATCGCTCTGGTCTCAGATGGTTCATATCCAGATAAGTGAGGATCTCTCCTGCACCGCTGAACAAAATCATCTGCTAGTACTCCTCCCGCCCATCATCATTTACAAATAACATTTTGCTATTTCATTTTCTTTTAGTTATTGTCATTGTTTTGGTAAAACTTGTTCAGGCGCACTCCAATGCATTTGTTTTTGCAATTTTTAAAGCTTAAGCTACACTTTTCATGTACCCACCGGATTCTGCAGAGGTAACGCCCCTCCCCGGGGCATCCTCGATGGGGAAGAGTGGTAAATGTAAACATCTCTTTCCTTAACAGCCAACCCTAAAGCTATTTCAAATTACAGTCACAAGTTATTCTAATTTTGTCCATTTCATATCGCTCTGTGCAACAATATATGTAGAAATGTTGCAGCTGGTTTTGGTTGGAACTCACTACCTAGTAGTTAATGTTGGCTCTAACTGGCATTCACATGGTGTAACAGATGGCTTTATCTATCTGACGAGCTTCATCATTACAGCAAATATAACCTAAGGTGTACGGTTATTGTAATATTTAGAGCTCACAATCAAAACATGAAAAACAAAAAGATTATTTTATTACGCTGGAATAATGAAAATGAATGGCAATGGCATATTTTTACGCTATCATTAAATTACCACCCAGACTCCTGTTTTATAAGTTGAAGAACACCAGGGATGTAATTAAAATAACAACTGTGAAAAAGTAAGTGGAAATTAACTGAGGAAGAAAAACTGGAGTTTCTTTCACTTTGTGACTCAGCTGATTAAAGATATTTGCTAAAAAATAGAGCAAAACAGTAAGATGTTTGGACTTTGGATGTTTGGATGTTTGCTTTTCTCTGGGAAATGTTTTCTAGGAATTGAACCTGAGAAATTCCTATTTTTTTTCCTACTAACAAGTCAAACCTCTCTCCTTTTTTTTTTACCAGGCAGCTCTTTCCTTTAAAATTCATGCCTTCCTTCTTTCTTCCACATCTAATTGGCCATTAAATTATTAAAATGTATAAAAGGCTGTATGATGGCCGAGCGACCGCGCAAGAAGGAACTCTGTCTCCCTCTCCCCATGGAAGGCAGCTCCCATCGCCAAAAGGATCTAACATTGCTTCTGGCAACCGACCATTAAATTGGCCATCTGCAATTTCTTTTTTTTTTTTTTTGCTCCATCCTGCAGGGGCGGCAGGCTGACAGAGACTGGAGTCAGGTGGGAGAGAAGAAAGTCGGCTGCTATGTGTTATCTATATAATGGTAGGGGTCTCCTGAGAGTTGGAGGTGGACAGGCAAACTAGGCGCTGGACTTTTTGAGTGGTTTAAAATCTAAGCCTCAGGCCTGTCTGACCACAGGAAAGAGATGGAAGAGAGTATCTGTTTGTCTGGATTAGGAGCCTGAAGAGCCACTGCAGCTCAGGCTCAAGTGAGCCAAGAAAAAGCCAGCATGAAAGTACTGTGTGTGTGTGTGTGTGTGTGTGTGTGTGTGTGTGTGTGTGTGTGTGTGTGTGTGTGTGTGTGTGTGTGTGTTTCATTGAGAATTTACTTTAGATTGGTTTTAGTGTCCTTCATGTCAGATTTCACTCTCATCTCCATAGAGCCAAAAGATGGATAAATGGAAGCAGACTTGTAAGTGTGGGGGAAGTGTGTGGACGTGAGGTGATGAGCCCCATTCATTCAAGCTGCTGAAAACTACCCATAGTGCCACACTGAAGCATACATTCCTTAAAAAAATATAGAAATATCACAAAGAAGAATGGCCGCAATCATACGCGTTATTAAGCGTGTCTTAAATAAATCCTTACCTTCATATGTTCCACTCTCTAGCAGGGCTCCACTTTTCTCCAGTTCCATAAACCGGTCAATGGTCACGAAATTATAATCCACCCCCGGGACCTCTCCTTCCTTGGGCTGCCTGGTTGTGCCTGCAGAAGATAAGCAAGAAGAGCTATAATGTGAATAACTACTGAATGAGAGGGGGACTTTGATTAAGGGTGAGTCTTTTTCAGTGTTTTCGAGACGATCAGAACAAGCCAGAGCTTACACAAGCTGACCCAGGCCCAGCTCTATTCATTAAATTCCCTATCTTTACATTCCTTTTTTTTGTCCCATCCTTTGTACAGCTGAGACTGAATATTTAACAGAGAGGAGAAGTGGCAAGGTATGATTTCAGGAGCTAAGTGATGCAATTTGGACACCAAGAGGAGAAATCAAATCAATTTGCATGGAGTTGACAGCATGTCGAGGACTCCCTGACAGGAGCAGCGGTCCTGCCAGCTGACAGGAACACGGGTGCGGTGAAAATATTTTACCCTGTGGTAGCAGCATTTTAAGTCAAGTCACGACCATCATTTCTCCTCCAGTTACTAAAACAAAGTGTGTCAAAGTGTTTACAATGTTAAAATGAGGTACAAATGACTTCCTAAATACGTTCTCATAGCTGTGTGCTAATTAGACTAGTTAAAACTGATCCCAGCTGTGATAACACGCAGCACTCTACCCCTGAGGTGCTGAATGGGTTTTCACATCTGAGGGAGCGTTACTCACACTAAAGCAGAGCCTGTAAACCACACTTGTTAAAGCCTGACTATAAAGTATCCAACTGTGTGTTTTAAAGTTAACGGCGGAGCGTTGTGCCACAGATCGCCCCTTGTACGCAGCATGGGGTGATTTGACTTTATGTGAGGCCAGATGACATCGCTCCTGCATTACAAGTTTCAAACAACGCCTGTAAAAGTTTGTGTGTTGTGTAGATGTGGGCCAAGAAAAGCCAAAAGTACGCAGGTTTCAGTTTCCATAAACACAGATTACTGCACTTTTAACTGTATAAACAGAGCTACATCAGTTAAAGAGCTGATCTTAAAACTACCAAGTGGGAAAAATGGGTATGCTTAAGAGCCCAAGAGGATGAAATTGTTAGTTTTTCTTGGTTCACTTCATGAATAAGAAGAAAGGGGATAGAATCAGCAAGCCTACTTCATCTTACTGCCCCTAAAGGGTTTACATTAAAGGCTGAAAAACTCCTTGAGGTTCTCGAGGCTGCAAGTCGGCCAACATCAAGATCGGGCAGTTTAGAGACATTTGCATGGTTTGTGTTTTATACTTGAACTTTTCAGCAACAACAATCAGAAAATCTTGCCCTCTTTGGCAACGCGCGTGGAGGTGAGAGAGCAAGAAGAGGGTTTGATCTTCTCTCAAGCCGTCTGATCACTTCAATCACTTCTCATATGTACAAACAAGAGTGAGGCTGAATGCTTTGAAGGAGAGAGTATCCAAAAAAGTGCATACGCTATTCGCATTTGAAATGCTGCCACTTGGATCAGGTATAAACAACTTTGCCATCAGACGTGACTGAGCCTCACATGGGGTGTATGAACTCACTGAGGTCTGCTTCTTTCATGTGTCAGCGTTTAGACAGTGTGATCAACATCATCAGCCCGAGCTTAAACTTCTTAAGAATTTAAAGTTTGGAACTGAAAAAATCTGAATCCAATTAAGGTTTTTTAAACCCCCTAATCTTCAGGGCACCCAAGGGTTAAAAGGGGTCACCGCTTTAAATAGTGAAGTTTGGACAAAAGCAAACAGGTAAACAAAAAGCTCATGTTCAGAGTGTTTGAAACACTTTTGTCTGCTCTTGGTTCTTAATAAATTCAGAGAATCAATATCCCTAATATGGTCCTGTCAAAGGAAAGGCTTTGCTGTGCACTGGTCCTATGCAGAGCCTACCCACAGCTTTGCAGACCATTATCCACATGTAGCCATTTACTGTCATCACTGCCAAAATATATGAAACCACCGTTTCTCTGCTGGTCCTTCAGCTTCTACCTGAGACTGAAGTTACAGTATTCATCGATGACTGTTTGTTTTCCAGGCGATGACTAAATAAAAATTTATGCATGAGGACAAAAAGTATGATGAAATGTGTTGACACTTCCGTCAACAAATAAAAAGTTAAACAAAATGTTCTGGAGAGATGAGAGAAAGGCGGAACGAGTTTGGAAGTGATCCAATGAGAAGTAATCTTCTGGTGCTGTAAGGTTAGACGGGCACATTTTCTCTGCCACCAGGAAGCAGTACAGTACAACAACTAGCTCCTATGCTTCCTGATGCTCATGAAAACGTGACAAAATGTCAGCGCTTGGGAGGAAGAGAAGATTTGACATATAGACACATTTTGTCTTTGTTGTCAAGGAAACTGAGATGCTTTGTTAAATGTATGGAGCAACTTGCTGGTAAAAAATGAAAAAGCAACTTTAGATTTAGTCTATCATAATCTTATGATATTTAGTTGACTCAAACTAGACTAAAATAATTTAGGTGCCTAAATTAGGACTAAAACTAAATCAAAATTTGTTGTCAAAGTCAACACTTCTGTCTACTGTCTGTGTCAGTCACTCTGTTCCCTGTTCAAGCCCACATTACAACTAGTCAGCGTTCAACCTACGTATAGCATCATCCCTGGTAGGCTACATGCTGTCGGGTTTTGGAGGACTGCACACAACCACATCTTCGTAGTTTGCTTACCTACAAACGTCACTTTGTGTAGCCAAAGGGACATGAATGCACCACGGTGAATCAGGCACAGAGATCTGGCTTTGGATAAGTGCACAGATGCCCCATCCAACGAGTGTTAAATGCTGCATTTAGGGTGTAAGTTTAGCTCACTCTGTTGAGCAGCCTCATGTTGTTATTGTAGGCAAAGGCACGGGTTCAAATTTATGGTGTGTGTTAGCCCTGCTCTTTTGCCCAGCTTTTTTATCTTACCTTATCACATTAAGGCCCAAAAAAATATTAAAAGAAAGATGGAATTTAAAATCTTCCTTAAAGCTAGATAACTGCAAACCCTTCTGAAACCTAACGTGCACCTCCCTAGCCTACATCGTCTGTGAGTGTCCTGTTTCATAGCTTTGTTTCCTCCGATTGATTTCTGGCTGTTTGTTCTGCCACTGCTTTTTCAATTGGCTCAAAATGAAATGAACTCTCCAGAAGAAAACGTTAGTGTTTTGACAGTGAAACGGTGGAGCAAAGTAGGCACACCACACACAAGTATAAATGCTCTTCATAGAGTCAATGATGAAGTTTGAATAAGCTTAATCTTTTGTTGATGCGTTATAGCCAGTAAGATGCAAGCTAGCTTAACAGGGGAAGAAAAGGAGCTAAAATGTTTTAATGTTGATAAACTGAAGGGGAGCTGCAAGGTCTAGTATGAGATAAATCTGAACCATTTTGAACTATGGATCATGCAGAGCTATGGTAATAGAGTCCAAAAATAAAATATGCAATTGAAAATATATACGCTTGAATCATTTTTTGTGTGAGTTTCTTGTCATTCCCAGTCTCTATGTTGCCAGATTATCTGTCTTTTCAATATTTTGCTCTGAAATAAAGGCTATAACTATCCCAGAATTTTTTACTTAATTTAAATTTTTTTGCTGTGAACAACAAAACAAATCTTCTTTACTTCAAACCAGCTGCATGCCGTTAACCTTCATGTCAAACCTTTTCATTTCTTCTTGTTAACATGTTGATTATTGGTGCTTAAATGGAGAGAGCAAACCCCGAAAAGAATCAATGATCAGCTGGTGTCCTGGGGACTGCAGCGCCCGACTTTGTTCGCATAAGATTCACTCAGAGGAACCCTTTCATTTCTCGAGCACATGATACTGACATGACTATTTCATGAACTAAAGTGGCACCCTGTATGCACTTTTTCAGATGCTCAAATAGAAATTTACTGTCAAAACTAAAACATCAAGCTGGAACCTGCTGAGAGAGTAAGTCATGTGAGCTGATAAGAGCAAATGAGCAGCAGGGAACACCATGGTCTACGCAAAAAAGTATTTTTGTGTTTCTGTTTGTGCTGCACCTCCAGAGGAGAAGAGCTTCTTGATTGTGTCTGTCTGCATGGGGGCTTGTGTACTCGTCAGATTAGCCTCCCTCCCAGGCAGAGCTCCTGACTGAGCAGCAGACACACATACACACGAAATTTCAAAGAGGACCTTTGATGTTGGGGGGCTATATTTAGCCGAATCTTCTGGTAGGACTTCTCTAGGGTGACAATTTCTAAAAGGAAGCACCCACAATGCCTCTCGATTTTCAGTCCTTTGTATGTGGGTCATGATCCTTTAGTGCTGATCTGTGAAAATAGAAACACCCCGCTCAAGTGCGCAGTATTTCTTTAGGAAGGTAAGTCATGATTATGTATAAAAGCCTCGGACACTTATCAAGATTTACTACTTTGTTCATAATTTAGTTAGTTTACCAGAGTCTGGGGTTAAAAAAAATCCCCTTAGGTGTGTTTCAGGAGTGTGTGAAGCTCTCCTTAAAAATAGGCATGCATACAAAACTTGAGCACAAACATGTTTCATTGATGTTTGAAGTGGGAAAAACTGAATACTACCCTAGCAGCAAAAATATTCTACCAGTTTAGAAAAAGAAAGAAAGTAAGACTTCCCTCTTAGCATTTGATTAGCATTTCAAAAATGAACAGGAGGTGCAATTTGACCAAAAGAATTGTAGCAGTTTCAGTTTTTGTGTGTGTGTGTATTTTTAAATCACAGTCATCCTCTTTTGCTACGGTCTTCTTTATTTTGGAATAAAAACTGAAGATAGAGAGAAAGAGAAATAGACCTTAGCAGATAACCAGAAGTGATTTTCACACCTTCCAACTTACACTTTGGACTCTGATTGGTTTTCCCACTTGGTCCAGGTGTGATTTAGGGCAGGTGCGAACCCAGTAAATTCACGTGGGTGCAGACAAAAACAACTGCACCGAGACTCTTGAGTTGAAATGTCTAGAACTCAAGTGCTGTGTTTATCCTCCCTTCAGATGGTCTGCTAGGGCTTTACTGCAGACACCTTCAGTTTTGGGTTGCTTTTGCTGAATGTTTTGGGTCATTATCCGTTTGCACAGTGATGCACCAAC